TTTTCGAGGCGAAAGTCTGGTTCGCCGTAGTAGAACCGGGCACAGCGGCGCCGTCAGCCATGGTTACGGGATGAGGAAGACACAGTACACTTGTTGTTGTCCGTGCTCTTTGTGGTGGCCGATCTAACTAATATAAAGTGATCAAGGTTTTTGTTTTTAAGATTCTGCAAACCTTCCCACTGGTCGCAAGGGAAACAAACGGCAGGCAATGTAGGAGAAACAAGGGAGGGGCCTGTCAACCCGAATAGGGACTTGATGCTGACAGCAGAAACCAAAAAAGCAGATTTTATGTCTAGCTAAAGGGACGTGCCATGCTTTTGTATCTCTCTCTTAACCAAGCTCTAATCCTAGCTCTTAAGGCAACCCTCGATTGAAGGCAAGTTCTTTGTGACAGGGGACACCGAGCCAGCTAACCAACAACATGCGAGATGTACGTACAGATACAGGGACGTTACATAGTGCTTAGGTACCAGGCGGGAGGGTGGGCCGTAGTGCTTTACACAGTAGGTAGGACAGGATCCTAGGCGTTATTACAATCCCATCACTCCGGGCGGTCCCCCCGAAGCTGCTTCGCCTATTGGTAGTCTGTTTAACATGAGACAAAAACGCGGGCTGCAAGGATCAATAACTGCAATGCAATGTGGGTGTAGTATCGTAGACAGAACCAGGCTTCAATGAATAGTTGACCTATTACACCGGTGTCTACAAGCAGCTGCGGTTACTACCTATTACACATGATAATGTGTATAAGAGCGATTGGACTTTTGAATTATGCTTTGACATGCTGGGCGGACTCAAGTACGCCTGCAAAGGGTGTGAAACGTTCCTTGATTCTACTTGTACATCACTCGGCCTTTTTCTCCCGCGCAGGTGCAAAGACGGCTAGAGACATGGCGAATATGCCAATTATCTTTATGTAAGTGGACGACCCGGAGCGTGGGAGTGTCTCGAGGCATCAGACGAGACTGGGGAGATTTAGTCTTTACTATTTCCCAGCTACGGAAGGCCCTCGTCTAGACATATTCCGTACGTTGGGGTTGCGTGATTCCCAAGCGGGCAAACATCTAGATCGAGATGGTAAATCCTTTCGGGTGCACGTTTTCAAAGGGGATCCCGTCTAGCGCTCAAAAGGACCGACGAGAAATAGTGTATATCGTCTTTGACGTAAAGGGACGCAATGCATGGAAGCTAGATCGAAGAGGAACCGAAGCTGACTGTTTTTTCTTGTCCACGCTGCCACGCTTTTCCCAAGATTGATCATTGATGCACGCGGGAACGAGCCTAGGCTGGTGAGAAAAGCTTCAGATGTTCGAGCGTTAGCGGCTTAGCAGCCGTAGTTGGCATAGCTAGCAGCGTTGGACTTTAAAGGTTGAAAGTCGAAGGTTAATAGTCGAAAGTTAATAGTAGATCTATTCAATTCTATCCAATCAAAACACATGTCGTTAGTAGTTGAAGACGAATTAGAGTTGTAGTTTAGAGCACATGTTGAGGCTCCGACGATCTGATTCGCCAGGGTTGCTCAGATCCCTGAACGACACATCGATTCGTAAATCAGTGGGGTTTACATCTCCCCAGACCCCCCTGTCCAGCTTGTAGATCCCTGTATCCCCTGCATTCCCTGCATTCCCTGTAATTATGGGGGTGTTGAAATAATCCATTTTTAGTCCTAGAGCAACACCAATCTAAACATACCCAGCCAAGACATCAGGAAGTTGAAATAAGACTTCACCAAGAGACCAAGACTCGACGGCAAGACGGCAATAAATTCTTGGTATGTAACATATCCGCACTTGTGTCAACATACCGTGTATCATTACAGGTTATAATCTTTTATATTCCCCGTCACATATACGCTAGACGACCCTCCCGGAAACCTACACCAAATATAGTGTATGTTATCCGATTGGGGGCCTCGGCTAGAGTAGTTTCCTTTTGATTCGGCTTTAGTTATTAGAAATTTGTAATTTGTAACACATCCTTTTTCGACATTCACAATTTCCGTCAGGCCAGATTCTGCAAGTGAGCAGACACCAGGACCCGTGGACTGACCAACCTTGCTCCAAATCGCAGGTGGATCGTGTAGCTGTTAACTAAAATAGCCCTTCAGCAATATCTAATGAATAAGAGCTGTTTCTCTATATTTTAGTGGCAAGCTGTGAATAGGCCAATCAGGTGTGAGCATTCGTCCACGCTCTTGATCTTTGAACGTTCCGAGTCTTTACGACAATGGCTTGACGGCTCCCTCTCGGGCAAGTAGAACAAAAAGTTTTAGGATTTCCAACATTAAAGCCTACCGCCGCCCGAACCGATCACGCCGGCCAATCGTCTACCTAATTCAGTAGAATTTTGTTAGCCCTTAACCCTCAAGTTTGAGGGCTACCTCTTAGTTAACTTCCTCCTTGCAGAGCTTTAACATGAGGTCCGCTTTATTCAACCCTCGAAATTACGAGAACCCATCATTTAGGTATGCTGAATACTAGACGTTGACCTAGAAGCGGATTAGCCGAAGACAATTCGGTTTTGGTGGACGACTAAAGCCCCTGATAATCTTTTTTTCTTTTTCACGTATAGTTCGCCTTCACGAGAATGCCCTCGGTATCGGTTTTGGTATTATATTCGTGCTGAGAGCCTGACGCTAGCTGCTGCACTCACTCGGATATGCCCCTCCGCTCCGGAGATTCATGATTTCCAAGAAATCGGTCACAGCCGAGCAATACCGCGTGATTCGTCTTGGCTGATGCAATGCACCTCATCTAGAATGGACGTAACTAATTCGGCCCTCCCAACTGTCAGCCGCAATCAATTCTCCGTTTCAGGGAATGGCACCAGCCAAGAAGCCTAGCCGGCTACTGCCGCTTGGCATTATCTTGACGGGCTCTAGAGAATCCGGACAGAGAGAGTTGCTTTGAGGAAGATCACTACCTAGGTAGGTCAGTGGCCACTTTGATGGATGTAGCCAAACGGCTCGAATAGGCCCGGGCGGGCGGGCGGGGGGGGCGCGGGGGGGCCGCCGGGGCATCTGACATGATGCCAGTAACACTTGTAAGGTGTGGACATAATGTTGGCTATACA